ATGCTATGGTATAGTTGTGTTCAGTTACTACACTTACTATTATTTAGTCCAGTTACGTGCTATGGTATAGTTGTATTCAGTTACTACACTTACTGTTATTTAGTTCAGTTACATGCTATGGTATAGTTGTGTTCAGTTACTACACTTACTATTATTTAGTCCAGTTACGTGCTATGATATAGTTGTATTCAGTTACTACACTTACTGTTATTTAGTTCAGTTACATGCTATGGTATAGTTGTATTCAGTTACTACACTTACTATTATTTAGTTCAGTTACGTGCTATGGTATAGTTGTGTTCAGTTACTACACTTACTATTATTTAGTTCAGTTACGTGCTATGGTATAGTTGTGTTCAGTTACTACACTTACTATTATTTAGTCCAGTTACGTGCTATGGTATAGTTGTATGGATTTGTTTGTAATTTCGCACAAAGCTACTTGAGATATATCTGCGCTAGCCGTCCCTAATTTAGAAGTGATAGACTAGAGACAAGACAGCTAGTCAACCTCACACACACCGTCAACTTTTAGGCTACTTTACCAATGAATAGTGGGATTGACATTATAATGTCCCCAAAGCTGAAAAGGCTAGCATATTCGGTGACGGGTTTCGATCCCATGATCCACAAATTGATGAGAGTCAAGAGCCCTAATCACCCAGCCATGTTAGGCCTACTTATATGCAAGTTCAACTATATATTACAGCACACTTGTATAAAAATACTACCACTAAGTAATTCAGTTAATGCTTTAAAATGTTGTATAAATATGCAGATAATGTTTAGTAACAGTCCATTAGACGTGTTTCATTGACTTTATATATGTAAGATACTGTACAAGCTATGGACACTTAAAATAGTTTGATAAGAAGGTAATATCCAAATACCGTTCTAGTGACAGTAATTATTATTATTTTTTAATCTGGGAATTGTGTTTGTGTTCTTATGCCTAAACTTTTGTACATGTTTACACTTCTAACTTAGTAGTTTTGCGAAATTATGAAACGTCTAAATGAAACAAAAAAGTATATTAATTCATTGTTTTTTACACCCTGGCGTCATTTGTTTTGAGCAGACCTATATTACATTTTCATTGTGTTCTTTTAGAAATCCACATCACCAGACATCAAACAAATCTGGAAACGGTTGTACGAACACAATGGTCTCCTGTTACCTTCAGAACTTTACCGTCAAGACAATCTCGAGGCACTCCAGAAAGGTACCAACGTCATCATCAGTGACGTCATCACCATGAGGTACATCGTATCCAACGAATGCTCAAAGCTTCCGGAAGGGGAGTTTTATTTCGCCAAGGAGACATTCTTTCCTCACACTTTTGTAATGGCAATGAGGAAAAAATTACCAAAACGTATCCAGAATGACATCAATAAAAGGTAAAGAAACGCTGTAGTTAGGTTTCAGTTTCATTTTAACTAATAAACTGTAAATTAGGTCAAAAGCTCGGATCAGTGGAAAGAAAATAGAACGTTTAAGGAGAAAAAAAATATTTAGTTTCAAATAATGAAATCATAAAAGGAAAACTTGACCTGTTGTATATTTGTCACCAATATTAATTTCCAGACAAAATAATGTTTCTAAACTTGACTTATAAGCTCATACAAACAACCGTTTTGAAGAAATTTACAAGACATGAAACAAGCACACAGTCAGTCATACATGCACATACAAGATGGCGTCCTTACAAACCTACGGAGCAATTTGGTTAACGGGGTATAAAACAATAGTTATTGAATGGTTATGATTATTTCTCTTCTCAAACACTACTCAGTCTTTCAGCAGACGTAATGAAGACCCAAGACCAAATTAACACTCTGAAGGAATCCAAGACCAACATTAACACTCTGAAGGAATCCAAGACCAACATTAACACTCTGAAGGAATCTAACA